ACGAGCCCCTAGACTCCTATCTAATCTTTCAAGTTATTTTTACTGGTTTGGTCCTTAGTTTTTGTTGTTAGACGCCGTTGAGTCAATTCCAACTCATAGTGAGTGACCTTGTGCACAACCGACGAAACTCCGCCCGGTTCTGTACCATTCTCATGATTGTTATACTTCAGCCCATCGCTGCTGCCACTGGGCCAATCCATCTCATTGGGGGTCTTCCTCTTTTTCGCTGACCCTCTGCTTTATCAAGCATGGTGCCTTTCTCCAGGGACTGGTGCCTCCTGGTAACATTCCGAAGTATGAGAGATGGAGTCTAGCCATCTTATGTTGTTGCTGTTGTTGTTAAATGCTGTCAAGACAGTGCCAACTCATAGCGACCCAGTATAGGGTTTTAGAAGCTTTAAATCTTTGTAGGAGCACACGTCTCATCTTTCTCCCAGAGCAGCTGGGGGATTTGAACTGCAGGCCTTGTGGTTGATAAGTGCTGTCAAGTCAGCTCTGACTCATAGAGACCCTGTGTAGGGTTTCCAAGGAGCAGCTGATGGGTTTGAACTGCCAACTTTGCAGTTAGCAGTTCTGTGTTTATCTGAAAAGCTAAGCTGTAGTCTGGCTTTAAGAAGACTTCAGGGGATGCTTTTGGTTTTAGGCTTAAAGACGATGGTTTCCTGGCAAGATTCAGGCATCCATGGTTCCAGAAAGTCTGAATTTCCTGAGAATTTGAAATTCTGTTACACATTTCCGGGTTTTGATAAAGGTTTTTGTGTAGAATATTTGACCAAAATGTTCAGTCATGGTAACTGGGCACCATCCAGTTTGGGTAAAATGAGGCACTATTTAACCATGTCCCCCTCCTCCCACAACATACACACACATGTACCTCTCACATCACTTGAACAGAAGTGGGTTCTAAGCCCAGGTGAACACAGAGGGTCTTGCCTTTATGACAGTGAACTGGGAACTGGTCTGGGCATGGCTCCTGGACAGGGGTGGCTGTAACATCACCTGGGAGGCGTCCTGTCCTGGGATGGCCTCGTCTGTGGGGCTTCCCAGTCCAGCTTCAATGCCCCCCCACAAAGACTCCCAACTGCCTGTCCTTTGAGAACCTCCAGGCCTTGCTGCCTACTAGCCCGGGACCTTGGGCAGTGAGACCCCAGCAGGAAGCAGCTCCTTCTGGAAGCTTCTGAGAGAGATTGTTGTCAGTTTGTAAGCTCTCTCCTGGTTCAGTGAATCTGACCTGGATTTCCTCTAGTGGAAGGTGCTGAGGTGACAGACAGGTGGGTGCCCCATGGTCACCCCTCTGCTTCCCTTCCAGACTCGGAAGCAGACCCTTGGACAGGCTTGCCTGGGCACCACACCCCGTGCCTTACAGGTGTGTCTTCCACCTCATGGTGTCCGTGTCTGTCCTCTGTGTCCATGTCTGTCCTCCTCTGTGTCTACAAATCCCTCTCTGGCTGCAGTGAGTGGGGTAGGGGGCTGCTGAGTCGCTGGACAGAACTACAGGGAGGCTGGGGAGGAGGGCAGCAAACGCCCTTAGAGAAGAAGACAAGAGGCAGCATGTGGGGGAGCCTGCGAGGAGAGGGATCTGAGGCACTCCCCAGCAGTGGGGGCCCTTAGTGGAGGGGAGGTGGGAGGTGGGCAGTTAGACACCAGGTGCTGGGCAGGATGGGAGCTGGAGAAGAGGTATCCACAGAGATGGGCCCGCCTCTGAGACTGAGGGGGATGGCCAGCAAGTGTCAGGACCAGGAGTAAGACCCAGGTCACAGGACCCAGGACTGGGAGGAAGACACAGGTCACAGGACCTGCGGTCACAGTGGCAGTTGTGGTCAGCGGTGGTCAGCCTCAAAGATGTCTGGAGGGTGGAAACTACATCTGGATTGCTTCAGGAGCTGGGTGGGGCAGGGTTGGACCAGGGGACTGAAGGAGTGGACAGTATGGTGTGCTGTTTTTGGGGTGCCTGTAACTGTCCCAAAGTTTGACATGAGGGACGAGTCCCATGAGAGGTCTGGGCTTGGGAGATAAGATGCAACAAAATCCAGTTGTCATTGAGTTGACCCTGAGTTATGGGGACCTCCTAAGTGTCAGGCTAGAACTGGGTTCTCCACAAGGTTTTCAGTGACTGATATTTGGAGGTGATCGGCATACCTTTTCTAAGGCTTCTTTGGGCACTCTTGTACCACGTGGGGACTCGAGATAGATGGATAGGTAAGATAGATGGATGGATGGATGGATGGATAGCTCTCAAGGTAGATAGATAGATTGATAGATATATAGATGATGAAAAATTTATGGATATAAAGGTGTAGCATGATTGATGAATGGACAGGTGGTAGAGAGTTAGAGTGAATGGATGGATAGATATCTATCCAATAATATAATATCTATCCATATAATCCAGATAATATCCATATATATCCAGATAATAGATGATGGACGATAGATGAATGGATCTGACAGATAGCTAGCTAGCTAGCTAGCTAGATGATAGATAGACAGATAGATAGATGATAGGTGTTGTTGTTGTTATGTGCCATGGAGTCGGTTCCGACTCATAACGACCCTGTACAGGGTTTCCGAGGCTGTAAGTCTTTACGGGAGCAGAAAGCCTCATCTTTCTCCTGCGGAACAGCTGGTAGTTTCAAACTGCTGACTTTAAGGGTCGCAGCCCGATTCGTAACCACTACGCTACCAGATGATAGATAGACAGACAGAAACAATGGATGGATACGTAGGTAGGAGGCTGTATGGATGGATGGACAGAGGATAGATGGTAGATAACTCGATAGATATCTGTGTGTGGCTTGGGTTCATTAGTATGTCAGTGCTGCTGGTTCAAACCCGACTTAGGGTGGCTCTGTGTGTATTAGAGTAGAACTGTGCTCCAGAGCGTTTTCACTGGTTGCTTTTTTGAAAGCCAGTTGCCAGGTCTTTCTTCCAAGGCACTTCTGGGTGGACTCAAATTCCAGCCAAGTACTTGAACCAGTTGGTACCACTGGGGGCTCCAGGTGGAATGAATGCAACTCCCCCTGCCCCATAATCTGGGTGAAAACAAAATCCCTGTGTGAGTTAGGTCTCCAGTGGGCTCAAGAGAACAGCTTTTCTCTTTAGCTCTCCCAGAATCGTCTGAGATCGAACCGCTCCACCCCAAAACACCAGGGGATCTCAGGGCACTCTGATCCCTGTCAGCTGCCATGCTTTCCCAGTCTCGTCCTTCCTCAAGCCTGTGTGTTGAAGGAGTCTTCCATCCTGCACATTCAGGTGGATGTTTTGTGGGATGTGACTTGTGACTACCCCCTGGGGGTGGGTGACGCTGACTTCCTGTGTCTGCCCCACCCACCTCCTCCTTTCCCAGGAAACCAGGACCTCTTCAGAAAGCATCGTCTCTGTGCCCGCGTCCAGCACCTCGGGGTCCCCGAGCCGTGTGATTTATGTGAGTGTTGTCCCCATCCAGAGTGGTCCCTGGGCTGGGGGCAGACTGGTGACTGTCATTCCCATGGTGTCGGGGCAGGGGCAAGGGAGAGTTAGCTGCTGTCACCTCTGTGCAGGTAGACTTTTTGAAATCGGAATGAGACCTTCACCATCGGCACTTGTCTGACCAGGTGCCTCCCTGGGCAGAGTTAACTGCTGCAAACATACCGTATTTATTGCAAATAGCATGTCCATGTATATAACACGCACACACATATAGTGCGCATCACCAGCACAGGATGTTAACGGAGGAGGGGTATGCTGTTCAGTGTGCAAAAAAACATACAATGCAAGTTTTATTTGCATAAAAGTAGGCAATCCCAACTGCTCCAGATGTATGAGGGGGCTTCAGAAAGTTCATTGGAAAATGGAATTAAAGGATCATGGAACTTTTCCACCTGTTTTTTTTCCCCATTATTTAGAGAATACTTTTATTATTTTCTGTAATCAACCCCATGTAGGTAAGACCTTACCAATTTAACACAGTGTGTTACGCCTGTACAAATGGAAAAAAAAATTAAGTTTAACGTTTCTAGACCAGTGTGGCTGCTAATGTCTGTACAATGCTTACTCAACATGGTCCAACTTGACATACTTTTTCCAAAGTTGACAACACAGCTAAAGTTTCCAAAAATTCAAACTATATATATATACATACATATGTATAGATATAGCATTTATATAAAAAGACCAATCGCAGCTTTTCCAGGTTCCCACCATTTTTTGAAGCTGCCTCGTATGATCACCAACAAAGTGATGCTGTAGTGCCTCTGTGTATCCCGGTACCGTGTGCACATTTACATGTGTGTGTACTTATACAGACACATGGTATGTAATCGTGTGCACATTTACGTGTGTGTGTATCTATACAGACACACGGTACGTAATCGTGTGCACATTTACGTGTGTGTGTATTTATAGAGACACACAGTACGTAATCGTGTGCACATTTACTTGTGTGTGTACTTATACAGACACACGGTACGTAATCGTGTGCACATTTACGTGTGTGTGTACTTATACAGACACATGGTATGTAATCGTGTGCACATTTACGTGTGTGTGTATTTATACAGACACACAGTACGTAATCGTGTGCACATTTACGTGTGTGCACATTTACATGTGTGTGTATTTATACAGACACACGGTACGTAATCGTGTGCACATTTACGTGTGTGTGTATTTATACAGACACACAGTACGTAATCGTGTGCACATTTACGTGTGTGTATTTATACAGATACACACAGTCACAGTACCTACCTCCCCCATGGTGTCTGGTGCCCAACCCAGCTGCCCGAGGACTGGCAGACTCTTTTTCTGGTCCCAGACCCAGGCCTCTCTGGTCAACCTGTCTCACTCTAGCGTACTCTGCCCCCCACTGGGTGATAAGACCTGGCTGCGTGGTGGCCACTCTCCTTCAGGGATCCTGTCTAACCAGCCCTCCCTCTCTCCAGGCCAAGCTTGGGGACGAGATCCTGGACTACAGGGACCTGGCCGCCCTGCCCAAGAACAAGGCCATCTACAACATCGACCGGCCAGACATGATCTCCTACTCACCTTACATCAGCCACTCCACGGGCGAGCAGCAGAACTATGGCGAGGTGCGCCCCTGGCCGCGTGGGGATGGAGGGCCCGCCTAGTGGCACGGAGACCAAGAGTCCTCTCCTGGGACATCTTCTCGCCCTATCAGATAATCTCATGAGCGTCTTACTTAATTTGTCACCTAGAGGTCCCTGGGTGGTATGCGCAACCACAAGGTCAGCGGTTCAAACCCACCCAGAGGTACTACGTAAGAAAGTCCTAGCAATCTGATTTAGCTAAGATGGCCACCAAGAAAACCCCGTGGAGCACAGTTCTACTCTAACAACACAATTCTAATTTTGCTAACCACAGCAGGGTTTGCCACAAGTTCCCCTACAGAACCCCCCCCACACACACTCTTTCTGCCTGGTGAGTGTGGTGAAAAGTGGGGAGCACACTGGTTACCATCTCTCCAGGTCCTGACATACTGGGTGGCTTTCCTAATGCTCCTTTATCCAGAACATTCTCTCCACCCACGGTTCCTGGAACCTTTTGAAACTTTGTTGAACCACATACTCTGTGTTCCTCAGTGTCCCTATGGGCTGTGTCCTTCATACTGGTGGCTTTAAAGTAGTCACTGGGTGGTAACAGATGGTTAAGTGCTAAGCTGCTAACTGAAAGTTTGGAGACGAGAGTCCACACAGAGGCACCGCAGAAGAAAGAGGTGGCAGTCTCTACTTCTGAAAACGCAGCCGTTGACTCTCCCATGATACAGCTCATTTCTCCTCTCCCACACTGTTGGCCAGGGGCTTGGTTTCCTACGCAGAGCAGCTCTTCTCCAGCTAACATGGGGCTGATGTGTCTTTGACAGTCCTGTGTTCTGGGAAGGGCCCCTGGTAGCACTGTTGGATAAACACTAGGTGGCTAACCAGGAGGTCAGTGGTTCAAACCCACCGGCTGCTCCACAGGAGAAAGCTGAGGCTGTCTGCTCCCACAGACACTGACAGTTTTAGAAACCCTAGGGAGCAGTTCTACTGTGTCCTGTAGCATCACTGTGAGTTAGAACTGACTCAGCCAAAGTGGTTTTGGGTTTATTGTGGTGTTTCTGGTTGTGCCTGGGAGAGGAGGGTGAGATCCCAGTGTGTGTGTGTGCGTGTGGTTTGTGTGTATGTGGCCCGGCACATGGACACAGCTTGGAGCAGGGAGACTTCAGCATTTCTAAGCATTTCCCTTGGACCTTCTGTGGTGATGCCCTGCAGGGCTTCTTGTGAAGTGAGGATGGGGTCGCAGGAAGCCTTGATGGGTGGGGGAGATGTGTGTCTCAGCTCTGTCTGCTCCCCATGTCCCCCAGCACTGCCCAAAGAGCCAGATCAATACTCCAGCCCTGAGACTCCAAACCACCCTCCCTTTCTACTGACCCTTTCCCTCTCTTCTGGTGAGACCTGGGGTGACGTGTTCTCAGGACATGGCTGTCCCCACCTGGGAGGAGCTCTCTTCCTTTTGGAAAAATATGCCATGCCCCGCCCCCCATGGTGCAAACAATTGATGCACTGGGCGGCTAGCCGAAAGGCTGGGGGTTCGAGTCCTCCCAGAGGCACCTCGGAAGAAAGTTCTAGTGATGTACTTCCAAAACATCGCCGTTGCAAGTCCGACTGCGCGCAGATCTACTCTGAGCCAGAATCGACTCTATGGCCACTGGGTGGACAAGGACGGGGACCTGCTTCCCCGGGGCCTCACCGCCTCAGTGCCACAGGCTGTATTTCTCCAAAAGCAAGGTTCTAGAAACCTGTTTGTGAGTCTCATGGTGGCTGAGTCATAGCACTAACGACAGCTCTGTGTTGTGCCCACAGTCTTCTCAGTTACTCTCGCCAACGCCTACTGAGGTAACACCGCCCTGCCTGCTTCCTCATTTACCTCATGCCACCCAGGTTATAAAGATCACCACCCAAGACCCCCGGCAGACCCCCCGACTCCTGGTGGGGCTCTGGGGCCCTCCTTGTGGCTGGTGATTTTTGTAATCCCATCTCTGAGCATGCTGCTAGTGTGGATGTCTGGGGCCCACGTCTTGCCTAAGTCGATGGTGTCTGGGCCCTGGCTAATTTAGAGAAGGAAATTGAGGGGCTGGGGCAGGCTGAGTCCCCCTCGGGCCACTCCAGCTGGGGTCTGCAGAAGTGCCCTTCCTAGTGGAGAACCTTCTGGAATTATTCCTATGTCAACCCGCGTTTGTTACCGGAAGCCTGTTTTTCTCTCATTTTTCAAAACGAGTCAGTGATGTTGGTAACTGTCGGTCAGACCTCAGTTTCCTTGTTAGATCCAGGGGTTGCAGTGTGGGGCTTCACTGAGACCACTCGCTGAAGATCCCACTGTGTGTTTGAATGCATTCACTGAACCTGGAGAGACCTGTCCCCGGTCTCCAGCTTGGCTACAGCTGAAACCCCCCGGGCGGCCTGAGCAAACAGTCTTTCTCAGCTCCAGAAGCTGCACTTGGGAGAGACACTTTGTGTGGCTCAGCTCTGGGGAAGGTCCTGTCTCGTTTCTCCTCCGGTTCCTCCATGGCATCTCTCTGCCCCCATCTCTGCTTGTTTCATCTCAGATTCACTTAAGACAAACCCTGCCCAAACCCTGCCTCAGTGACGTGGAACAAGCCAGCCCTTCCCCAGCCACAGACGGAGAAGTCAGGGACTACAGCACAGATTTGGGGAGTGGGGGAGGGAGACACACGGTTTAAACCATAACAGAACTGTCTTCTGAGCTTTCCCTCTGCTTACCAATCGTGAGACAGGACATGGAGAAACCAGAGATAGTCCCAAAGTCTGTCCCCAGCCAGGTCCAGCTGCCTCTCTACCCAGATGAGTGAAAAGAGCCCACCCAGGAAGAGCCACGGAATCACTCCGCAGACTCCTCCGAGACTTATGGGTCTGTAGGTGGGAACCTCTAATTACATGTTCTTCAGTATGGTATGGACAGGCATTCACACCACACTGTCCCCAGGACAGTGTGGACCCCGGACATTCACACCACACTGTCTCCATCACGGTGTAGACCCCAGACTTTCACACCACATGGTCCCCAGCATGGTGTACACCCCAGACATTCATACCACACATCCCCCAGCACGGTGTGGACGCCGGACATTCACACCACACGGTCCCCAGTATGGTGTAGACCCCAAACATTCACACCACACAGCCCCCAGCACGGTGTGGACCCTGGACATTCACATCACACAGCCCCTACCACAGTGTGGACCCTGGACACCTCACACCACACGGTCCCCAGCATGGTGTGGACCCTGGACATTCACATCACATAGCCCCCACCACAGTGTGGACCCTGGACACCTCACACCACACGGTCCCCAGCACGGTGTGGACCCTGGACACCTCACACCACACGATCCCCAGCACAGTGGTCCCAGACTATGTTAGGTTCTGTCCCAGGCTGTCCCGTAGCAAGGGTTTGCTCTGTACTGGAGCCAAGGCAGTGGGGGCTGCTCAGTGACCACCTTCATGGCCCCCAATGCCAGTGGTGCTCAGCCCCCCAGTGTGCCCCCTGGCCCTCTGTGGGGGATCCCATTCCAGACCACAGAAAACCAGACCCTTCTGTTAAGTGCCCACCTGACTTTTCCACTGAGTCCTGAATGTCCCCCTCTTGGGGTCAAGGTAGCACCTTTCATCCTGATGGGCTCTTCTATGGGTGACCCTTCCATCCTGCAGAACCTTTACCAGAGCCAGCCAGGACTCAGCTTCAGCCACCTAACCATGCAAGTGGTCGGCTGGCTCCAGCTCCCATACCCACGGGCCAGCCAACCAGTCTGCACATGGCCTGGGAGATGTTAGACGGGACCCCAGTGAGGGGCACTGGACACAGAACTGTGCAGAGGACACCTAGAGTGGGGAGAAAGTCGGACTTCAGATGTCCAGTGCTCAGTGACATGACCAAGTCCATCTGACTGGGGGTGGATCCAAGGGTGAGAAGAAAGCCAGAGAGACCGAGGGGCCCCCGAGACCTCACGCTACTTGTAACTGGTGCCGACCTGGAGGGCACAGCAGAAGGTCACCTCATGCCACCCCTCCAGACGGTGGGCACCAGGTCCTGGCGCATCCATCTCCTGCAGTCCTTGCACGCTCCGCTGGCCCTATGGCCACCTGCGTCTCTGTGCGTCTGCATCTGTCTCCATCTGCTGCACTGCTGGGCCCAGAAGGGTCACCCGCTGCTCTGAATGTGTATCTAGGGCCCCTGAGTCCTCATCCACACACAGGGAGCCCCCCTAGAGGGCTTTCAACCTGTGTTTGGAGGAGCCCCAGGGCTGAACATTCAGTAAGTGGGGAGGAGGGTGGGACTCTGCTCTTAGGAACCCGGCTGTGGCCCCCACCCCTGACTCTGCAGCTGGGCAGGCATGAGGGTCACTGTGGAGGAGTGGGGCGCTCACAGTGGTATCTTCCCTGCAGGGGGACCAGGACGACCGATCCTACAAGCAATGTCGGACCTCCAGCCCCAGCTCAGCGGGTTCTGTCAGTCTGGGGCGCTACACCCCGCCCTCACGGTCCCCACAACACTACAGCCGCCCAGGTACTTGTCCCCCACGACACCACCCTGATACAGCCACAGGACTCCCTGTTCTCTGTGAACACTGGGCAAGTGAAGGCAGGGATGCTGAGGGAGGGTCCATTCATTGAGGGACCTTCATGTAGGTGGGGAGGTTAACTGAACAGGCAGCTGGTCAGCCAAGGCCCCATCCTCCAGGAAGCATGTGAGACCCATGCCAGGCACACAGAACTGAGCAGGTGTTTCAGGGGTGAAGGATAAGGGAGGCTGTGGTCAGAGACCAGGGTCGGTCAGTTCTGAGCCCGTGTGGTCAGAGTAGACCTGAGCCAGAAATGGAGTTGTATCTGTCCGTGATTTCCGGGGAGCTGGCTCTGCAGTCACCACAACAGCCAACCCCATGCACTCGGTACAAGGCAACTGCCAGTCACTCCGAGCAAGAAACAACCTGAGGCAGGACCTGGTGCCCATCTCATCCATTTACCATCCAGCCACCTGCTGTGTCCTGCTCCCCCTTAGCTGTCACATTCCTTGCCCCCATAGTGTGTCAAAGCAATACAGATGCTGCCTTTTTGAGGGGTCTCCAAGCTGACTTCTCCTGGGACAGCCATTGCAGGACCACCCTTTCATCCCCAGGGGACCTAGCTCGCCACCACGCGGCCACCACGCAGCCTTTACATCAAGATTCGCTCATTCGCTATTTTCCTTTACATTCTGCTGGGTAAATGCTGCTCGGTCAAGCTGGGAAAATAGACGGATGAGGGAATGAATGAATGGATGAACGGATGAGTGGGTATGTGAGTGAGTGTGAATCACTGGACAAGTAGTGTGTGAATAAGGGAGGGAGGGAAGGACGGAGGGAGTCAATGATTGAGATCATGAACAAGTGAATGAATGAGGCAAGGAGTGATGTGTGAGTGAGTGAATGAATGAGTGATCAAGTGAATGAATGATCAAGCTGATGAGTGAGTGAATGAGTCAGTGAGTTATTAAATAAATGAATGAGTGAGTGAGTGATTTATTAAGTAAATGAATGAATGAGTGATTTATTAAGTGAATAAATGAATGAGTGAATGATTTGAGTAAATGAATGAATTAGTGATTTATTAAGTGAATGAATGAATGAGTGAGTGAGTTATTAAGTAAATGAAAGAGTGAGTGAGTTGTTTATTAAGTGAATGAGTGAGTGATTTATTAAGTAAATGAATGAATGAGTGATTTATTAAGTGAGTGAATGAATGAGTGAATGATTTATTGAGTAAATGAATGAATGAGTGAGTGACTTATTAAGTAATGGATAAGTGGGTGAGTGATTTGTTAAGAGAATGAATGAATGAGTGATTTATTGCATGATTGAACGATTGACTGATTTATTAAGTAAATGAATGGGTGAATGAGGAGCAGGTGGTAGGGGAGTGGTGGATGAGCTTCCCTTGGCCCCACTGAGCCCTTTCTGATGGTCTCTTTGCTGCCTGCCGGTCACCCCAATGACAGGATGACCTGACCTCCTTGTGGCCCCAGAGAGCCAAGGCTAGGATCTCAGCTGGGCATCAAGCTGTCACTTCATGTGAGCGCCTTGCAGGGTCCGGGAGAGCCACTGTGGCTCCGGTACCCAGCAGTCCTGCGTCACCACTTCTCCTTGCGGGCCAGCGTTGCCCTTCCCAACCCCTTCAGCAAGGACACTTGGTCTCCAGCCATTGGGTGACCCTTCAGGTGCCCCCAAAAGGTGTGCCTTCCTCAGAGAGGAAGCAGAAATGTTCCTAGTAGCATGGGGACTAGGAATATTTTGTGGCTTTGTGGTCGGCGAGCGCTGAGTGGACTCTGACATCCTCTCTGTTGCCCTGTAGCGGGTACTGTCAGTGTTACCACCAGTAGCTGCCTCTCCCTGTCCCAACACCCAAGCCCTACCTCCGTGTTCCGACATCATTACATTCCCTACTTCAGAGGTAAGGCGCGCAGGACTGCGGGCTGTTGTGCGTCCCAGCGTCTTGTGTGGCCGCTGTCCTGTGTCCCCGCATGGCTTCTGAGTCCTGTGCCTCACATCCTGAGCTCCCTCGCTGTGTGTGTCTTGTGCATTTGACTCTGTTCCTGTTGGCGTCTCAGTGTTGTGGAAGGAAGTGAACCGGCTGTAGCCCACGACATCCCACATAAGTTTGGAGAGGTGTAGGATTGTTAGCCTAGAATTCAGGAGGAAATGGAGGCAGAGAGAAGGGCTGTGTGATACAGGGACAGAGGACACATTAGCACAGTGTGGCTTCGAGTCCTGGCTCACCCCAGGGTGCAGAACTGCCTCCTGAACCCACCTCTCCGTGTCTGTGTGTACGCAGTTTGCACCTGGAAAATGCTGAAGGTATGCTCATGGAAATGCATTAGAGGGAGCAGCCAGGGAAAGCTCTGACAACTCCCCAGGGGATGTGTGAAGTCCCCTGTTCTTACAACTACTGTGTCCCCTGAGGACCCTCCCACCTGTGTGGCAAACACAAGTGTCTAGTGGACACAAATCTGTTGGCCACACCCACTTCTCTCGTGGCCACGATGGTCATTTGCCTGGACCGATGACATCACCATAAGTTGTCAAGGACTTCGTTTTACTTAGACCCACAATCAACACCCACGGAAGCAGCAGTCAGGAAATCAAATGACGTACCACACTGGGTGACTCCGCCGCATAAGACCTCTACAAAGTATTCAGGAGCAAAGATGTCAGTTTGAGGACTGAAGTGCATCCGTCCCAAGCCGTGGCATTTTCAATAACATGACACATGAAAGCTGGGCAGTGAATTAGGAAGACCATTCAAGAATTGATGCATTTGAGTTACAATGTTATAAGAGAATGTTAAAAGTACCATGGACAAAAATGTCTCGGAAGACGTACAGCCAGAATGTCTCTCAGCAGTGAGGATGGTGACTTCAGCTCGCTGACTTTGTGTAGGTTATCAGGTGGAACCAGTCCCTACTGAAAAATATCATGTTTGGTGAAGTGGAGGGTCAGTGAAAAAGAAGAAGGACCCCTAACGAGATGGCTGGACACACCATTCACATCAATGGGCTCAAACATCCCAATGACCATAAAACAGGCAGTGTTTCATTCATCTGTACATGAGTAGCTGGGCACCAGAGATGACTTATTGGCACCCAAGAACGGCAATCACTAACCTTGACCGTCACTGTCCCCATGAGAAGTGTCCTGTCCTCACAGTTCACGGTCTCGGTGGGCACATCTGTGCTCATGGGCAGAAGGGCAGCTGGTGGAGGAGTCACCAGCGTGGCGTTCTCTCCCATCCATGTGGCCCTGCTGGGGTGGACAGCAGCCATCCAGAACTGGGGTGGCCCGGTGTGGTCCTCTCCCATGACTGTGTCTGAGCCTCAGCCTCCAGTTCTTCTGCGCCCGAGTGAGGAGAGGCAGGCTGAGCCCTCCACCCAGGGCAGAACCTACAGTGAAACCTAACCGAGCTCCTCAGTGCAGCTGCCCACATCCATGTCTGGGTATGGGCAGGGTGCCCAGCCTTACCCGAGCTGGAGAGCATGCCCCGTATCTCTGGCCATGGGAAGAAAGCACAGAGAGACCCCCACATGTAGCTGTCCCCTCAAAATGTAGACCCATAATCCTTTATGCCTCACAGGGTCCACCAGAGCAGGGACCTTTGTGGTCTTCTCTGGTGGACTCTGACTCTTGGGGATCATTGGTTTCCATGCTGCCCTACCATGTCCTTCCTGCATGCTGGGAGCAGTCTCAGGCCCATCTCCTCAGGTGTGGGCACCTGCACACCTCTGCTCTCCGGGACCCTTCCTGGCTTTGAGACCGCCCAGCACCATACAGACTGGCTCAAGTCGTGTGCACCCTTGGGTCCACCTCGAGGCCACTCAAGACCTACCCTTCATCCAACACTGTCCATCCTGCCCAGTGGGTTCCAGTGTATGCTGGCCTGTGTGTGGCTAACTCCCTGCTGCTCTCAGCCAGATGCAGGTCCAGCTATCCATCCACACCCTCTGTAGGGCAGCTCCTCTAGGTACATGACCCCCTGGGTCCAGGGAGAGGTGTGGAGCCAGTTTGAATGGTCCTGGGTCCCCTCCCTCTCTCTCCCATGTCTCAGTACCCCCAAACCTGCATCCAGGACAGGGGCTGAGTGCCATGGTGTAAATCCGTCCAAGGGTCTCCTGGGGAGGAGGTTCAGGGACAGCCTGCGGGGGGCGGGGGAATGTCCTGGCCCCGCTGACCAGCATGTGGTGTGAGAAGGAGGGGGCGCAGGTGTGGAGCTGCCCACAGGAGAGGATTGGTTTCAGAGAACGGGCTCACTAATAGCCAAGTGCCAGGCTCGGCTTCCAACAGGCTCTTCCTGTTGGGAAATGTCAGCGTTTGCTCACAGATCTTCAGCTGATGGTATCAGGCCCACCACACTAGAGAGTGCTCCGATTTACTTAAAGTCTACTGATGTGAATGTTGGTCAGATGTGTCTGATCCAAGTCACGATCTTGTCTAGATCTGTGTTAAAAAAAAAGTGCAGCCAGAGTGCTCCTTCGAAGCAGGATGGCCAGACTTCGTCTCTCATACTACAGACATATTGTCAGGAGGGACCATTCCCAGGAGAAGGATATCCTGTTTGGTAAGGTGAAGGGTCAGAGAAAAAGCAGAAGACCCCCCAGTGAGATGGATTGACAAAGTGGCAGCATCAATGGGCTCAAGCATGGCAACAGTAGTGTGGTTGGCCCAGGACTGGTCAGTGTTTTATTCCGTTGTGCGTAGGGTCTCTATGAGTCAGAACCGACAACAACATATGCTTAGGAAAGCTAAACAATGACTAAGGAAGGCCAAAGAAGAATAAATACATTTGAGTGATGGTGTTGACGAAGAATATTGAATATACTTTGGAGTCCCAGGGAAAGGAACAAATCTATGTTGAAAGAGGTGCAGCCAGAGTGCTCCTTAGAAGCCAGGATGGCCAGAGTTTGTCTCTCATACTTCAGACATACTGTCAAGAGGGACCAGTCCTTGGAGAGGGACAACATGTTTGGTAAATCCGAGGTCAGAGAAAAAGAGGTAGATCCCCAATGAGATGGATTGGCACAGTGGCAGCAGCACTGAATTCAAACTTAACAAACAATTGTGAGGTTGGCACAGGACTGGGCAGTGTTTCATTCTGTTGTGCATCGGGTCGCTATGAGTTGGTACCGACTCGATGGCACCTGACAACAGCACTTCACAGCAGTGACCGGAGTGAGGGCTGACCACACACCATGCTCACCATCACAGACTTTGCCGCGTGGCCTGCTGTGTATTGGGATAAGACCCTCACTCGTGGGAGGAGCTGGTCTTACTTCTGGACCCGGGGAACAAGAATCCAGCAAGAGCCATGCAAGTTCTCCTCACAGCCAGCAGGGGCGCCATTTCAGCTACAAAATGAACCAAGTCCTCACACAGTATTGTTATCCAAAGTGTAGAATAAACATTCCAGGATGTAAATAAATGATGAAAAAATGAACAAGGGGAGAACAACCAAGCCTGCCATTCAGAAGAGTCCCCTCTATCGGACCTAGATGGGATGCCCTCAGGGCAGTGGGTTCCCGCCCCTGAGAGTGGTCAGTGCTGGGAAGGTAAAGCTAGTCGTTTCTCAGGGGGACATGGGTCCTCGCCACCTCAGTCACCAGGGTCAATGATGGGTCCTGTTGGGGGACATGCAGTCGTGGTCCTCCATCAGGACCACGACCCCAGAGCAGGTGAGCAGTGGTCCCTGCCTGGCAGCAGGTGTTGAGTGGGTCTGTTGGGCCAATGGGCTCGTTTGGCTAGTCCTCGCCTACCCAGCATCCCCGGCTCCTGAGCCTGCTGGAATCTTCCACCAGAGGGTCAGACCCAGTGGGCAGGGGCTGTGATCCTGATGTAGAGAGGGGAACCCCAGACTCAGAGCCAGCAGGCCATGGGGAGATCTCCCCCCTAGGTGACCATGCCTGAGGTGACCATGTGGGCAGAGCTGTGGCGCTCAGGGCCTGTTTTCTTGCTGCCTTGGGTTGGACCGGCACAGCCTCGGTGTGTGGCTGACAAGGGGGTTTTCTTGGGGGATGGACTCCTCAGGGGCTCAGAGCCTCCACAGGTGTATTCCCAGTCCAGGGAAGGGACAGCTATATGGAGCAGGACTCACACCGTGAGGGGCAGTGATCAGGCCGAAGTCCCTTCTGCACTGGTGATATTGGTGCCACCATGGTGTGGCTGAATGAAAAGGGGACACAGCTGTACCTGGGACTCTTGACTCCCGCACCACAAAGATGCTCAAGGGTCCAAGCTGGCCGGCCATCCTGTGGTCTGCAGAGTGGATGGTCCTCACACAGGCCCGCTGCTCCTGGGGACACAGGCTCCTCTGGATGCAGGCTCATCAGGACCCTACCTGCCTGTTCACCCCCAGTTCTGACACAAACTTCAGCATGAAGCCAGAGTGTGGCTTCCAACTGCTGCAATTCACATGGGCACTTGCAAATTGAGGGTGCCCATTTCCCTTCAACAAGGTCTCCCAACACAATGTTGGTTCCTGGGGTTCCTGGAGAGAAAGCAGACGGTGCTGTGTGTTGTCATGAGATCGTCCAGAGCCCGTCGCATCTGTCCATCTGTGGACCCTTAAATACGTGTGTGTGGGGGGGGACTCCCCCTGTCCACTGTGACTGTTCATATGTTTCACTTGATAATTCAACCATAAGTCAAAACAGGAACTCCAGATGCAGCTGGGGCAAAACAAGGAAACCAGAACCAGGGGTACCCCGTTATCATGCTGAGAAATGGGGTGCTGTCTTTAGGAGCGTGGGGACTGGTGGACACCAAGCGCTGATTTGCCTGGAGCTGGTAGAATGATTCCATGACTTTTAAAGACACACGTTCATTCGATTCTGAGCCAGAGTTGTACTCTGATTGGCTCTCTAAGAAAGCAACTATTTTACATAAAAGGATGAGGAAGAAAGGGAGTCCCGGGTGCTGCACACAGTGAAGCACTTGACTGTCAACCGAGTTGGAGCTTCAAGTCCACCCGAGGTGCTTCAGAAGAAAGGCCTGGCAACCTACTTCTGAAAAACCAGCCGCTGGAAACTCCTCTGCGGGGCTCAGGTCTGCTCTGGTACACTTGGGTTCGCCACGAGTCAAGGTCAATTCTGCAGCAACTCGGTTTTTAGGAGGAGAGGCCCCGAGCCTGGGTGAATTTGCAATCTGTTATACATAGGTCATAACAGGTACAGGGAGCTGAGCAGGTGTGAGTCCCAAGACCTGGGCATGCTGCCAGGGTGTTCTGCCCACCCGTGTGGTGACCCAGGCCCCCAAAAATCCCTTTGTGCCCTGGGTCACCCAGAGGCATTGACTTCAAGTGCTGGATGAGCTGGTGAGGGGGTCTGGGCTGACTGGGGGCACAGCTTCCCAGCTTGAAATACTCTCCTGTGCCCTCGTGTCCCCTCGGGTCTGCTCTTGCGTCTGGAGGCAGTGAAAGTGGTCGCAGCACACCCAGCCTGTCTGTGCTCTCCGACAGCCGGCCGCCCCCTTCCACCTACCAGCAGGCTCCACGTCACTTCCATGTTCCAGGTAGGACCACGCGCCCACCACCCGCTCACCTGAACAGGCCGTGTGCCACCAGAACCCCCATGCCCCCCAGGTCCTGGCCCTGTATAAACACATTCAGGTGGATTTGCATACCCCTAAGGAGCTCTGGTAGTGTAGTGGTTACAGATCAGGCTGCCAACCGCAAGGTCAGCAGTTCGAAACTACCAGCTGTTCCGTTGGAGAAAGATGAGGCTTTCTGCTCCTGTAAAGATTTACAGCCTCGGAAACCCTGTTCAGGGTCACTAACCCTATCTATACAGGGTCACTATGGGTCAGAACTGACTCCACAGCACATAACTACCACCACCATCAAATTGCTGTGGGTTTGGATGTTTCTGGAAGGTCCTCCAGCCTCAGAGAGCTGTTTGTTTTCTCACCTGGGTGTGGAGAAGGCTGTCTGATTGGCTGTGATCCTGGGGGGCCTGGGGTCTTGCTTGCTGCCCCTTCTAGCCACCTATCCCTGGGGGTACGGAGAGCAGTGGTCTGTCCTGGGGGCGGTGCTTGGTCTGCATGGGGCTGGTGCCTGTCTTCTGAGGATCGATGGAGACCACCACTGCCTGCCAGCTTACCTTGCCCTTCTTTCTCTCCTGTTCTTTCTCCTCCTTTCTTCTTCCTCAGACACTGGCGTCAAAGACAACATCTATAGGAAGCCCCCCATCTACAGGCAGCATGGTACGGCATGCATGTCTCACCCTGGTGTATTGGGAGGGGACCCAGGGTCTTTGCCCCGAGTCTGGTGGGCACCGAACTCTGATTTGCCTGGAGCCGGTAACATTGCCCTGAGAGGCTGATGTAAATGGTTAAGCTCGGCCGCTAACTGGGAGAGTAGAGGTTTGAGTCCACCCAGAAACACCTCGGAAGAAAGGCCTGGTAATCATCTACCTCCCCAAATGGAGCCATTAAATACTCTGTGGAGCACAGTTCTACTCTGACCCACATGAGGGTGCCACAGGGCACAATCGATTTCATGGCTGCTGGGTTTTCAGACAGGAAGGCCTCTTCTCATAGTCACAGTTACGGGGTGCCCGGGCTGTGTCCAAGGACTCAGAACCCAGGTGGGCTGGGGCTAGAGTGGGCTTCTAACAGGAGACAGGCTTGGGGCATTAGCAATGCAGCTTTGAGGGAGCAGCCAGGCAGCCTCAGCCAAGGTGGGGAGGTGTAGGGTCTCCCCAGACCACAACCCGATACAGGTCTGGGCCCTGGGGCCTGGCTCGACTTAATGAGAGAATCCATGGCCCTGCCTGTCCAGACCGTGGCTGACCACAGGGTCAACAATCAGCTAAAGGGGTTCTTGCTGTCTATCAGTGATGACATCATCTCTGGGCCCCCTGGCTTCCCTCACAGATGTCTTCCCCCACCCCCCACCTCTGCCCCATCTAAGCTTACCTGGGTAGGTACACAGGAACAGAAAGCAGGGTCTCTCCTTTCTCTGAATTTCCGGGTGATCCAAGGCCACTTCACCCTTTCAAGCCTCTGTTTCTCCATCTGTAAAATGGGACCGGTACCCTGTCTAGCCATCCTCAGAGGCACAAACAGTTAAGTACTAGACTACTGACTGAAAGGTTGGCAGTTCAGACCTACCCAGAGGTGTCTCAGAATAAAGTCCTGGTGATCAGCTTCTGAAAGGTCCCAGCCATTGAAACCCCCTATAGAGTGGCTCTACTCTGCACTTATGGGGGCGCTGAGTCATGGTCGGTGCTAATGGTCACTGGTTTGATTTTTGTAACCTCCCCAAACCCATGGCCATGAGTTAATGCTGACTCATCGTGGCCCTATAAGACACAACAGTACTGGCCCAGGGCTGTCCGAGGCTGTCCATCTCCACAAAGGAGCCCTGCTTGAAGCACTCAGCTGCTAACCAGAATGTTCAAGGTTAGCACCCCTGGGGGACAGATGCAGAGCTCCGCTTCTGTAAAGACCACAGCCTTGGAAGCCCTGTGGAGCAGTCAGACTTGACTCAAGGAAACTGGGTTTGGTTTGGTCATCTTTACGGAAGCAGATGGCTACATCTATCTCTGTGGCAGTGGCTGGTGGGTTTGGACCACCAATATTAGCTAACAGCTGAGTGTTCTACGGGTGCAACACCAAAACAAGCAAACGGACACAAACTCGCTGCCATCGTATCAGTGCCGACTCATGGTGACCCTTTTGTCTTAGGGTTTCCTAGCGACCTGAAACCAGTGAAGCATGAACACGTATGTACGCAGAGAAGGAACTGGCTTACAATTCTGCAGTCTCAGGTCCATCTTAGTGGGGGCAGGCCACACCCCCAAGGAGACATCCTTTTAAGTGATTGGCTGCTCATAGCCAATCATCATAGAGTTAATTTTGCCTGTATTAGGTTTTATCACTGGAGAAGGATATCATGTTGGGTAAGGTGGAGGGTCAGAGAAAAAGAGGAAGACCCCCAGTGAGATGGATTGGCCAAGTGGCAGCATCAATGGGCTCAAGCGTGGCAACAATTGTGAGGTTGGCCCAGGATCGGGCAGTGTTTTGTTCTGCTGTGCATGGGGTCACTGTGAGTCGGTACCGACTTGAGGGTTGTCCATGGGGATGAGCACATCCCAACTGCTAACCTCTGGAAATCTTGGTCTAGTCGACACAAAACCCTAACTCTTCTACCTTTACTGGGTTTCTGAGACTGTCTCTATGGAGGTAACCAGCCTCCTCTTTCTCCTGCTGGTGGGTTTGAACTGCTGACCCTGTGGTTAGCAGCTTAGCCCACAGTGCCACCAGGACTCCCTTCAGACCTCCGCCTGTCCGTTTCATGGACTGGCTGTGAGGATGGATGAACAGTGGGTGTGGAGATTGGTTCTAAGCTGTGAAGTGCAGCGCCCACAGCGGGGCGGTTATCAGGCCGATGGCTAGACACGAGAGTGGTCATCTGCTGTCCCAACCACAGTTCTTTCTTTGCCCATTGGTCAAAGTTGGTCCCGTCATCTGAGGACTTCTTCCTGTGACCAAGATGTGAATCCCTCAGGGAAACACTTGCCCAGAAGTCCAGAAGATGGCGTCATCTCCCATGTCACCTCAGAGTGTCCAGACCAATCCCTAACTCCAAGTGGAGAAACGGAGACCCGTGGGGATGTGCTCACGGACACTGTCACCTCCGACTGACCTCCAACAGGCTCAGTGTCTTAGGCCAGCACTTCACATATGAGCTTCGGAGGTGTCGGGCCCCCAGGAAGTGGGATGTTGCTCCCGGGAGTCTGGTCTAGTCAAATCTAAACATCCCAGGGAGATCCGATTTTGTTTTCAGCCTCAAAAGCCCTAAGTCGGGTGCTGTGAGTCAGAACCGACTCGCCGGCACACACCCACTACCACCAATTCAGTCGGTAGTTAGTGCCTGAGTTTTAAATACTGAAGGAAAGAAAAGGGAAACAAGACCCCTCTCCAGCATTTCATCAACAGATAAGAAGTAGGACCAGCTGGGGACGGGGCGGGGGGGCAGGAGGGATAGAAGTCCTTGGCCACCTGTCCACCTAGTACATGGACCACTCAGCCCAGAAAGTGCACCTGATGCATTCTGGGTGTTTCCTCAGAATGGGGTTCCTATTCTGTTGGAATTCTTCGCTGGGTCCACTTCTGGGAAGAATGAGAAAAGCAGGTTGGTGGGCTGCTCCTTGGAAGCTAAGTCTGGAGGCTGAAGGAGGGACAAGGCCACAGTCCAGAGAAACTTGTCCAGGGTCCTGGGAGGGGAAGAGGAAGGAGGAGGGGTCTCTTCAGGACTGAGGGCTCAGGTGTCCTGCAAGAGGGGCCAGTTCCTGGACACACACAGGCCCTTGTGGACAGAGCGGCGGCGTGTGGGCACCTCCCATGCAGAATGGACTCCTCAGGAGGGTCAGTGCTGAGCCCCTGCCCCCAAGCCAAGCGAGTCCCCACAATACCGAGATGGTGCCACTGGGGACCAGCAGAGCCCTCAGAGGACCCACTGTGCATGTCCATCTCGTCCATCCTTTGTGCCCCTGCTGCATTCAAGCTTCATGCCAGACCCCCAAGGAGGGACAAAGCCCTCAGACATACTCTGGACTAGAAGCTATTGGCTATCAGCTGATGGGAATCACATAACATGTCAGGTCAAGGGGATGAAATTGGCCATGGGCAGTACTGGACCTCAAATGGTTACTCTCGGGCCTCAGAGCTAGACCTGGTGACATTCTAGTGACTAGTGCAATTGTGGGTCCTTCTAGACTCAGCACCACCAGGCGTACAAGGGGCTGAGTGATTCCCTTGAATGTTTTTGGGCTGGGCCTCTGCTGACCTGGCCCTCTATATGACCCACCTGTCTGCCACCATTCTCTCAGCCTGTGAGCATGCCTTAGACTCAGGCCCTGGTGAAGGGATGCAGGTGGAAAGGTTGAAAAGCTAACAAGGAATGATCAGTAGAGAGGCACATGGATAAAGCCTGCATGGATGAATAGCTGCATGCATGGGCAAAGGGAAGGAGAGATGAATGGATGGGTGGAAGGGTGGGTGGGAGAATGGCTGGATGATGATGGATGAGTGGGTGGGTGGGAGGAAGGATGGTTGGAAGATGGATGGATGGATGATGGATGGATGGATGGATGAGTAGGTGGGTGGAAGGGAGGATGGTTGGATGATATGTGGATGGATAGATAGAAGGAAGGAAGGTTGGGTAAATGATTGGATGATTGCAGAGAGAGAAAGAAGTTTATTATCTTACAGTTGCAGAGTCCCAGGTCCTCAGCGGAAGACAGAGAGAGAATCCCACCTGCATGTCCATTATATTGGGAGCAGGCCACACCCCCAAGGAGACATCCTTTTAATTGATTGGTTGCTCATAGCCACTATCACAGAGCTAAGTATGCCTGTATTAGGTTTCATCACAATGGGAATGAGCACATCCCAACTGCTAAACCTCTGGAAATCCTGGCCTAGTGAGGTGACAACAGAACCTTGACTGTTATGATGGCTGATTGACTAGATAGTTAAGTGAGTGGGTGGGTGGATGGGCAATTGAAGGGATGGATGTATGGTGTGTGGTTGGATGAAAATGTAGAAGGATGGATGAGTGGCAGGCTGGCTGGATGGTAAGTGGATGGATGGATAGGTGAGTGGGTAATTGGCTAGCTGGATAGTTAAAAGAATGGGTTGATGGATGATGGCAGTTGAAGGGATGGATGGATGTATGCTGGCTGATTGGGTGGACAGATGGAAATAAGGGTGATGGGTGGATGATGGCTGGATAAATGAGTGAGTGGATGGATGGGCAGTTGCAGGATGAATATATGGTGGATGGTTGAGTGGATAGATGATGGATGGATGGATACTTCAGTGGGTGGGTGGATGGACAGTTGCAGGGATAGATATATGGTGGATGGTTGGGTAAATGGATAATGGATGGGCGGATGGATAGTTGAGTGGGTGAGTGGATGGACAGTTGCAGGGATGGATATATGGTGGATGGTTGGGTTGATGGATGGATGGATAGTTGAGTAGGTAGGTGGATAGACAGTTGCAAGGATAGATAAATGGTGGATGGTTGGGTGGATGGGTGATGGATGGATGGATAGTTGAGTGGGTGAGTGGATGGGCAGTTGCCAGGATGGATATATGGTGGATGGTTGGGTGGATGGATGATGGATGAGTGGATACTTAAGTGAGTGGATGGCCAGTTGAAGGGGTGGATGAATGAGTGTCTGGAAATGGATGACTGGTAATTAAAGTGACACATGCACACTTAGATATTCAGATATGAGAGAACCAAAATGGCGTGTGGGAAGGAGTAAAGGAAGGCAGGCAGGCTCTGTGCCCTAAGAGAAATCACAGACCCCTTATGTATTCCCAAGGGATACACACCCAGGACTCAGAAGGAACTGTCCTCTGCTTGTCTGGAACTAATAGTTTTTCCCAGGACCTCAAAGGAGCAAGCCCCAGACTATCTTTACGTTCAGTCTGTTACTTACTCCTAATTTTTAAAACCTCCAAGCCAAGCTCTCCGTTATGTCCCTGCATCCACAGATGATGAGGGGGAGGCATCCTTTGCCCATTTTACAGATTAGGAAACTGAGGTTCAGCCCTATCAAGGAAGCTGATGCCCTGGGTGCTGTGTCTGTTAGACTGTACACTTGGTGGCCCTTCTGGCTTTTTCTGAAGGAAAGTGATTGGCATATGTATGCGTGCCATGGGGCATGTTTGAACCCTGAGGTAGCTCTATGCCAGAACATGTCTGGCCCTAACTGCCATCCTTGGACCCAGGGCAACCTCCAACACCTGGAGCCCCAAAGTGCCAGCTGGTTGGAGCCACCTGCTTTAGTTGCAAATTGCCCCACGAGTGCTGTCCTGTTGGGTCCTCTGAGGACTTTTCCTGGAGGGCGTCTGTTGACCCTGGCAACAGACCATGAGGGTGGCCTCGGAGCTCCACGTAGCCACTGACCCCCAAGCCACAGCCAATGAATGGCCACACAGACCTTCCAGGGCTCTGCTACCCAGCAACAACTGTTGTCTGGACAATCAGAGAGTGCCCACTAGTGGGCATATGTTCCTTGAACCCCCGCCCCACCCATAGAACAGGGAGAGATCTGGGGCCCTCATTCTGGAGGAAGGAGAGGCTGGAAGCCAGTGGACCACAAGAGGTGTCTGTGTGCTTCCCACAGACCCCCACGGCTCAGTCTTCCGTTTTGGTCCTATGTCTTGCAAGGTCGAGTAGCCCAGTCCCCAGTGTCCAAGCTCTCGGGCCTGGTGTCTGTCTTGTCCTTGGTGGTACAGGAGGCAGGGTGCTCGAAAAGACTGAGATGTCTCAGTCCTCCGTCGGCTGCAGGTAAGAGCCCACCCTCTGCGTGTGCTGACGCAGGAGACGGATGGGCTTCCGCTTCATCGTGGGGTGCATGGGGCTGGCACGCTCATCCATTCGGGGTCCACTCATCATCATTTCATGCTCCCAGCGAGGTGGGAAAGGTGGCTGGGGAAGACGGCTCAGATCGGACCTTTGGCAGACGAACATTTGTAGGCCCCGTTTCCTGGAGTTTCTGGATGGTTGTATCTTTAACAGTGTTTCCTCTCTTAAGAAGTCCTAGTGGCACTGTTGGTGAAGCGCTGGGTGACCAGCTGCTCCCGTAGCGATTTACAGCCTTGGAAACCCTACACAGGGTCACTATGAGTCAGAACCGACTTGATGGCAGCGAAGTCCGGGTTTTCCTGCTTGTGGTCCATTTCCAGCAGCAATAGGGGGGTGGGGGGCGGGATTTATGTGGATGTTGACCTCTGCGAGTGCCTGGTAGTGAGGTGTGGCTGAGAGGAAGGACTTTGGGGTCACACTGCCTGGGTTCAAGGGTCAGCCTCGGTTACCCCTAATCCATGACCTTAGGCTAGGTCCTTCACTTCTCGGGCCTCAGTTTCCAGATCTGTGAAATGGTTTAGGGTTGAGGAACCTCCATGAACAAGAAGAGTAGAATGTGTGTCTGTAACAATGCCCGCCAACCACATTGAAAAACATCTCTCAGGGCATCAGATGTGCTTTTGGCTAGGATGTAATTAGGCATTCCTTCACCCAGCTGTGTTTGTTTTCAGGCACTGTTGAAGGTGTAGGCAGGATCCCTGAGGGGTCTTTCCCAACTGTCTGTTTCCTCTGCCCCACAAAGACCCCTTCCCCATTGACCCCTCTTCCTGGGTTGGTTTCTGTTTCCGAGTTTGGTTGGGAAGTGGGAAGTGGGAGGTGTCTGCCCAGGGTTCCATCGCTGCTCCTTTGACAGCTGGGGTTTTCTCTTCCAGCAGCGAGGCGCTCGGACGGAGAGGAGGGAAGCTTTGACCAGGACCTGAGGAAGGTAATGATGAGAGGCACCTCTCACCTGAAAACAGCCAGGTCTGGGAGGAAACCTGCACAGGGGGTGGGGGCTCCTCATGTTTAAAAACTCAGGCTCCGTCATCCCGAGTCTGCCCCTCCAAGGGCCTTGGGGCCAAGTGGGGCAGGGACCACTTTATTTTATTTTGATGTGTCTGTGTGTGTGTGAAATGGGCCGAAGATTACAGATTTAGCAATTCATACACATTTTATTTTGTCTTATTGATTGCAATTACTCATCCTGCTTGTTTCCTGTTTCCATTCCTCCTCCTGCATTTTATCCATGAGGAAATACTGCCCTTTTGAGCTCTAATGGTTTGTTATGCTAAGGAATGCCCACTTCCCTACTGTGATGGTTCCTCATATGTTGTTTTTATGTGCTAGCCAACCAGTTCTGACCCTGTGCGCAACGGAACAAAACTCTGCTCAGTCCTGAGCCATCCTCACAATTGTTACGCTTAAGCCCATTGGTGCTGCCACTGTGCCTGTCCATCGCCTTGGGCGTCTTCCTCTTTTTCACTGACCCTCCACTTTACCAAGCATGAGTTCTTCTCTATGGACTGGTCCCTCCTGATAACATGACTGAAATATAAGAGACCAAGTATTGCCACCCTTGAATATAAGGAGCATTCTGGCGGTACTCCTTCCAAGACAGATTTGTTTGTTCTTTTGGAAGTCCATGGAACTTTCAGTATTCTCCTGCAACACCATAACCCAAAAGCATCAATTCTTCTTCTGTCTTCCATATGCAATGTTCAACTTTCACATGCATATGAGGTTATTGAGAATACCTTGGCTTGGGTCAAGCACATTTTAGTTCTCAAACCAACATCTTTTTTCTTGAACACTTGAAAGAGGTCTTGTGCAGCAGATTTGCCTAATGTGATAGGTCTTTTGTTTTCTTGATGGCTGCTTCCATGAGTGTTGATTGTGGGTCCAAGCAAAATGAAGTCTGACTTCATTCTTTTCTCCAAGTTGAAGGGCTCATGTTCTGACACTCTATCTGAAAGTGTTCTGGTGCTGTTCATGATTGTCCCCTTCATAGGCCATTTATTATGATGTTATTCATTGGTCCAGTTGTGAGGGGTTTTGTTTTATTTACATTGAAGTACAATCCATACTGAAGGCTGTAGTCTTTGATCTTCATCAGAAAGTATTTTAAGCCCTCTTTGCTTTCATCAAGCAAGGTTGTATCTACTGCATATTGCTGGTTGTTAGAGTCTTCTTCCAATCCTGATGCCATGTTTTTCTTCATATAATTCAGCTTCCAGAATTATTTACTCAACAGACAATTTGAATTACTATGGTGAAAGAATACAACCCTGGTGCACAACTTTCCGGATTTTGAACTGTTCAGTATCCTCTTGTTCTGTTTGAACAACTATGAACAGGTTCCTCATGAGCACAACTAAGTGTTCTGGAATACCCATTCTTCACAACTTTATCCATAACGTGTCATGATCCACACAGTTGAAAGCCTTTGCAGAGTCAATAGAGCACAAGAAAATATTTTTTCTAGAGGGCGGGGCTTGCTGGCGGATTGGGTAGAGGTGCAGTGAAGATCACCGTCAGCAATACCACAGAATACCAGGCAAAGCAGGTTCTGAGCAGAGCTCCTAAACTCTGAACTACATAGGTAGGAATATTTAAAAAGTTTGAAAGCTTAAAGCTAGTGGAACTTGTAGCAGAAGTAAGAAATCTCACACTTTAGAATATGCCAGTCTCAGTGGCCCAGAGCTGACAACTTGGGCAAGACCAAACAGCAAGACCAAACGTGGGAGAACAGACCTGCAAGGAATTAACCACCACGGGAACCTCAGAGCAAAGGTGACAATGTTCTCTGGTTTTGCTTTGTTCTGATATTTTTGGGGGGTGGTATCTGTTCATTGCAGTCTGTGCACCTCCATTCTGGTGACTAGAGTGGGGAGGGAGCCTGAGTGAATGGACACCCCTCACTCCCACCACTGGAGGATTCATCCACTGCATGTTCACAGATCCTCTCAGCATTTAGAGAGGCTTGCCTTCTTGCTTTTTGGGTGATGTGGAGTTGGTTCCAACTCCGTGACCCTGCACAGGGTTTCTGAGGCTGTGAATCTTTGTGGGAGTAGAGGGCCTAATCTTTCTCCCACGGAACATCTGGTGGTTTCAAGCTGCCGGCCTTGAGGTTAGCAACCTGATTTATAACCACTATGCTATAAGCAGGCAGCTTAAGACAGCCACAGCCAGCCCTGAACTGTTTATTAATAGGGAAAAGGCCAGAATGGGGGGAGTAGAGAGGGAGAGAGTTTAAAAACAAAACAGGTCAAAAACTAAATCCTGAGGTACAGCATAACAGTCAACAGTGGCATCTTGAAATATATCAGACAGCCGTGAAGTCAAGAAACTGAAAGAGGAAAGAGGACATTAAAGTCATACTCATTTTAGGCTACAGAATTTTTTTTCTCTTTTTTTTTCTTCCTTCTATCTCTCCTCTCCTTTTTTCGTGATTATAGATTACAGTATCCAATCTGAGTTTTTTGTTTGTTTGTTTGTTTAGTTCTGTTGTGTTTTGTTTTTACCTATAGGGGGCTTTTTCTCTCCCAAGAAGAGACAGCAATTGCTGCCATATTGTTAAGATACAATCACACCCTATAAAGCCCCACAATCCAGGAAAGAACCAATACCAACTGCTATACACCAGGGAGGCAGACAACACCTGCAAAAGTTATTCTGAGTTAAGCAATAAGAAGAATGAAAAGGTAAGCCACCTCCTGATCACATCTATCTGGAGGCAATCAGAAAGCATAAATAACATTAAAACACACACTCAATTAATTATTAAGGCCACAGCTAAACACTAAACATGTCAAAAGAGCAAAAACAGATGACCATATTAGCACACGTCCAGAAACAAGATAAAATATCTGAGACAAATGACCT